GTGCTGACTCCTTGGTGAAGAAATACCTAATGTGAAAGCCCAGTTCCCATCTCTCTGTACTAAACCCACGTGTTTTCCCCACTACCACAGAATTCATGGAGATGACAGATTTTAAAAAGTAATTTTGTTTTGACACATACTCTCAGGAAAAGCATCATGCTCCTGAAAACACATTTGAGATGAATTACTGAGTCCCATATCCACAGGGTTAGAAGTTCAGTTAAGCACAGCATGACCCCAGTATTGTCCCCAAACTTGTCATTAGCAAACACATACTTGTCTAATATTGTAAAAACACTTTAAAAATGGTATTGCAAAACTTGCAATAAAACCCACGAGAAATTCAACACTGAAACAATCAGAGTGAATCTTTAACGTGTTCATTTTTAAGGGGCCATTAATAACCCAGGAAGATATTTTTGTTTGACTGTTTGAAAGTCTGGGGGCTAAAATTTCCTTTGCTCTCAATTTTCTTTTGCTGCTCTGCCCAGGTGAGCCGAGGTGACAGCCAGTCCCAGACTGTCACATCTCATCTTGGGAAGGCACCTGGCTGCACATCCAGCTTTTCCAGCAGAAGCTCCTCTCCCACAGGGAATTCTCCCCCGTCCAGCTGTGGGAGCATCCAACTCACACTGCTCCTGAATGGTGCAAACAAGCCAAGGGAACCAAATAAACAGCTTGTGATGTACAGATAATGCTCTAAAAACTGCTACTACCAGAAAAACAGATGCTGTTTTATAGAGCTTCTCCACAGTTCTATTTCCTAGAAATCCAATTTAAAGAGAAAATATCATTACACAACTCTGACTGCAGCATCAGCTCTGATGAGTTTTGGTCATACCCAAGTCTCCTGTAAAGGAAATTACACATATGAAGAGCTTAAACACAACCTGCTGAACCAATTTGTTGAACTCCCAAGTTATTACTGTGGATGCAAAATCTTGCTACGCATAATTCACTGAAAATGTTTCCATCCCTAAACATAAAGATAGTAAGTTTATATAAAGCTTACCTAAAGTTCTGTGCCAAATCTAGATGAGGAGTTTCCATGGAGCTGAAATTAAAAAAAGCACTGATTTCAGAGGGGAGGTTAAAGCAATAAACAAACCATCCTGCAGAATTTCAGAGAGAATGTTAAACTCCTCTGTTATATAGGCCAATAACTGCACCACACACCTGATCAGCTTCAAAAATCTTTGTTTGAACGTGACTTATCTGCTCTTTTGGCTCAAAAGAAGGAACCAGCCAGAGATGCAAGTCCCTGCAAAGGGAAACTGATGATTCCTGGAGTGAGTAATTGTTAAACAATCCCATCTTACCTGGGAAACAGGGAAGAGCAATCTCAGAACTCTAAAACTTGGTTATGCCTTCATCTTATCTGAGCACACAGTACAAAGATTTTAAAAATAAACCACAAAACCCCAAACCCCAACCGCTCCAAACAAACAAACAAACAAACAAATGCCTAATAACCATAGGGTTTTTTGAAGATGCCATTACAGGAAATAAGTAGTTCAAGCACTTTTTCAAATATTAAGAGAGTGTCAAATTCTCAGGGTTAGTTACATCTGTTAAAAGAAGTAAAGAAACGTGCAGAATGGATCCACCTGTGGTGCAGACAAAGCTGCAACAACCACCGTGACAAAAAATATTATCCAGATCCATGGTAAGAGAGGAAGAAAAAGATGAATATTAAGAAACAGAATTTATGGGTTTCACTAATTCAGCCTGTATTAGTTTTGTTCAGGATAACTTCTATCGAGCACCTCTTCAGATCTGCAGTTGAACTGAGCTCTATTACTTTAAACATTTATTTCTGAGGGATGAAATGACAACATATTCCAGGATTTCTGATCTTTCCTCATTAATGGTCACCACTGTTCAAATCACAGGTGGAAGAACACCATCATTAGCAACATTTCTTAAGATAATGTTTTTTTAACATTCACAGAACCCCTCCAGCACTCAGCAAAAGGTGATGCTGTGAACTGACACCACAGCAAGGCCTCCACTTCTGTGCTTTGGAACAGCCTTTCCCCATCCCTTAATAAAGCTGAAAGACAGTGAAAATCCCCAGTTTTGTGTTTCTGCACAAAGTCCTAACACAGAGCTTGTGCACAAGTATATTCTATTACCCTCTGTCAGCTCTGTGCAGACACCCCAGCACGTGTGGAGCTGAAGGAGCTGCAAGGACTCCTGCCTGGGGAATTAGGGAAGAGTAACCAGGGAGTCAAGGACTGGCATCAAGGGTTTGCTCTTCACTGACTCCCCTGAAAAACCAAACCTGGGGCTGAGGGCGTCAGGCTCTGCTCCCAGGGAACAAGGGACAGGACAAGAGGAAAGAGCCTCAAGTTGTGCCAGAGGAGGTTGAGGTTGGATACTGGGAAAATTTCCTCATGGAAGGGGTGGTCAGGCTCTGGAACAGGCTGCTCAGGGCAGTGGGGGAGTCCCCATCCCTGGAGGGATTTAAAAGCTGTGTGGATGTGGCACTTGGGAACAAGGTTAGGGGAGGCCTTGGCAGTGCTGGGAACAGTCAGACTCCATCATCTCAAGAGGGTTTTTCCAACCTAAAGGATTCTGTGATTCCACGGCTCTCAGCGAAGCTGGTGGCTGGCCAGTGAGAGCATCAGTGCCACAAAGGGAAAAGCTATGGGAGAAAGTCATCTTTGTTCCTGGGAGTTCCTGATCAGTGCTGGAGGACAGACAGTGTTGCCTACACTGGGAACCTTAACCCAGTGGGACAAATCCATGAGGAGAAAGGGGAGTCTCCAGAACCCAGACACTCCTTCCCTCCACTGAGGCTGGAAAGAACTGTCCTGCCCTCCTTGCCTGAGTGCTCTGCAGACTGACAAGAAAGAAAGTGATTTTTCTTTAGTCCAGTATGACCTAGAAATCATTTGTCAACTGGCTCCAGCTCTAAGTTATTTTTTTCGAAGGAAAGACTTTCTTCCCACAACCCTTACAGCCACCTCCAAATCACAGCTGTGAACAGCTGTAAGGGGTGACCTTTATGCTCCCCCTTTTTTAAATATAAATTAAATCAAGATTAAAAGAAGATACTTCAAGAGGGGATTAAAGCTAAATACTCACATAAAACATGTACCTGCCAATTCCTTCTGGTTTGGTTTTTTTTTTTCATTTTTTTCAACATGTGATACAGTAGGTCTCTGAAGAAGGAGAGGAACTAGACTGATCTAGCAGAAGACCTTGCAAAGTCCATCCCAGGAGAGCCAAAGGCTCTGAGAGGTCTTAAGCCAACAAGAAGTGCAAGTAGATTATAACATTTTGCCAATAGGAGTGGAAGGCTGGAAAGACCCCCTTGACTCTCTTGGCAAGAAAACAGGAGAATACTACAAACAATTTCTCCTTGGGGAAAACTGCTTATCAGAGGAAAACTGAAATAACTTTGGGTTATTGCACAGAAACTGCATTATCTTGATTCTCCTGGTTACTGTCCTGCAGCATCCTCTGAAAAGGCAGGAAAGTGAGAAACGAAATTGGTGCATTGAGGGAGGTGGTGGAAGAAAAATACACGGTTCCTAAGGGCAAAAAAAAACCCAGGGAGGTGTGGGGGAACATCTGGGCTCCCAAATACCTGGGAAGTTCCTTAATTAGACAGATTACCAAACAAATGGTAAAAGGCAATTCTATGGGCCTGATAACATATGTGTACCCTTGAAGCACACGAGGTGAGGACAGTGTCACACAGCAGAGGGCCCTCAGGTACCACCCTGAAAACCTTAAAAAAAATAAATGATGCAGAAATAAAATTGCTAAAGTTGAGGTGGTGGAGAAAGTCACGGCAGGTGGTACAATCCTGTGCACTAGATCCTCATTCCAGCGGTGCAGAACCCCAACCACGATCCCCTGGAGCGCAGCGTGTGGGGCCGGGGTGACACTCACCTGTCCGGGCACAGGGACACGTAGAGCAGGATGAGCAGCACTGCTCCCACCACGGTCGCCAGCAGGGATCTCATCCAGGAGCTGAGCTGGCAGAAGTTACAGTACTGCACAATGGTGATGAGAATGGCACAACACATGAACATGGTGTACTGCAACAGAGAGAGAGAGCCAGTCAGCGGCTGCCCGGCGCCCTCGGGCACCAACGCCAGGGAAAAAGGGGCACAGGGAGCAGAAGGGTCTGATTCCATCTGTGTTATGGGCATGGTGCATCAGGAGTCAGCACGTGAAGATGGGCATCTTCCCTTCCAAGGGCAAGAAAACCTTTAGCACAGGTAGTTGGCCACAGTTTGCCCCGGGTGGAGTTTTGTATCACTGCGTTACACGGTTATTTCAGCGACTTCCAGTGCCTCCAGCTTACCTTTGCAAAAAGATCAGTGCCTCTTCTTGTTAAAATAAAATAAAATTTAAAAAAAAGGTAAATATTCACTGCAACCTCCACTCCACTGCTGGGGTTAGATCCCGTCTGTTTTAAACTGAATATCAAAATTCCACTGCATTGTAAATGTGGAATGCAACTTCACCCACCCGCCTGTTTTTAAAAACACTTCTTAGAGGACACTGTCACACTGATCAGCAACAGGGGAATTCAGATTGAAAAGAAAAGATCTGCCTTGGGAACAAGAGGCAGGTATTGGTCATTGTCAATGGACACTTGGTGACACGACCACTTGTGCCAATTTGCAAGGACAATTTTACATTTCCTGTTCCAAATGCCTGATCTCAAACCCCCTTTCCCTTTCCCACAACTCTACCAGATAAAGAAAAGGACAGGCAGGACAGACACACTGCCCAGAATACCTTCATTTCCCCAAGATACAATCCTACAGTGGTCAAAACTCTCAGGCTGATGTGCCAATTTTGGTTTTAGCAAGAATATTCATGACCATCCAAGCTAAAACAGAGACTCCACACTTGCATTAGGGAGTTCTGTTCTAGCTTTATGCTGTGTTTTACAGCATGAAATGATCATTCTCTCCCTTTCTTTTATTTTTAATAACAATCTCTTCATTAATAATCTCTTTTTTTTTTAATTTTACATTTCCTGTACAGCTGAAGCACAGACACTGCAATCCTGTAGCACAACAAACAAACATGTGATTCAGAGCAGACACAGAGTATGGGAAAAAACCTTACATAATTTACCATTTTTAAACCACAAGCACAGTTGTTGGTTTTTTGAAATGACTCAAAAACAGATAAAAGGAGTTTCAGAAGTGTCCATAAAAAAACCATAACTTAAACTTACTTTTTTCCCCCCATTTCAGGTCTCCTAAAGTGGCAGAGCACTGGTTCTCACTCCAAGTGATGCCCCAGCATGAAGCCAGCCTATAGAGGGTCAGGATGTGCTGGATTTTACTATGGATGCATGGCTTTGGAAAGTTTTTTTTTTTTTTCATGGCTGTTTTTTTGTTAATTTTCATTTTAATTATTTTATATCCAGGGAGGGTATAAAATGCTATGAATAAAAAAAAACTTTGCAAAACCATGTCATAGTAAAATAGGACACTTACCTGACCCTCTATAGATTGACTCCATTTCCTAGAGCTCCATGAGTGTGGAAACACTGAGCACAAGCCGAGTTGGGACATCTCTTGGAGAGGGAGCCAACAGCCCCACGACTCTGGAGGACCTGCAAGAGGAAAGAAAGCAAAGTTCATTCTCAGTTTGGTGATGTAAATCACCATTTTACTGCTGCTGCCTGAAGTGTTTCGACTCAGCCTGTCCTGAACAGGTATTGAGAACACACCAATAAAGGTTTTTAGTTTTTTATTATTTTTAAACATTTGGAGAGATGATCAAGGATGGTGATGAATGGGATGATATCAAAACCAATGGACAGATTTGAAGGTTTTTGGGTCCCTTTCACTTTAAAGAAGACATTCCTACAATTAATTTACTGATAATCATGTAGGAGGAAGACCATCATTAAACTGAACTAACAAAAAATAAATTTACTGCTTAAAAATTCTGAAGCAAAGTTCCAAAAGGTGGAAGCTGCAGAATGGTTTTAAACATGGGATGTAACAGAATGTCAAACACACTCTCCTGTGACTGTGATAACCACGGGATATGTGTTTAAATCAGCAAGGACCAAAAAACATGTGGTCACATGTTCCCATGGAACAAACACTTCCCAAAAGCCAGGAATAAGCTGTGATGGGAAGAGTGAGGAGGATCTGGCCATTACCTACACCCAGAGCCCTGAAATAGGAAGAGCTTTGTGAAGCAATTCCCTGAAGCTCCTGGAAAGGATCACTGTGCTATGAAGAGAAACTTGCAGAGAAACAAACTCTCATCTCCAGTTTGAGGCCATTTTATTCACAGTTTTAAAGCCCTGATTTTATGCTACAGTTGGCCTTTAAATTAAACTGTTCTTCCCCCTTCTCATCACTGCCCATGGCAGGGGGTTGGAAACAGATGACCTTTAAGGTCCCTTCCAACCCCAACCATTCTGGGATTCTATGAATTCACAGAATTTACAGAATTTATGTGAAATTCTTTGAATATTTAACCCCTTGTTCTCCCCTTCTGAATGCTCTCATTAAGAGAGACATCAAATCCCCTGTGGGCTAAATATACCAATTTCTTTCTGTTCCTTTTCAGAAGGCAGGTATTGCATTCCTTTAACCACTTCCACAGCTCCTGCAATGATCATTTCTAGGTGCTGAGAGCTCTCTCTCTCCTTTGAGTTCCTCCATCTCACTCTGAAAAGCCAGAACACCCACCACTAACACTGTTCTCACTGCTGAGATTCAGTAACTACACATGTCCACCTTGAAACTCCAAATCCAGCCTAGATCCATAAGCCTGAGATAAACTCCTTGCACTGTCTCAAATAAACCTCTGCAGAAGTGCTTGGTCTAAGAAAAAAAGGTAGGTAAGTCACAGGCATTTCTAGGTTTGGCTCTCCTCTTTTGTCTGAGAGTTTTCAAAGAAGCCGTGACTGTATTTACATAACAAACTAGGAATTCCATCATCCACAAAGCCCTCTCCCTCCAAGGGATCTGTATCAAACAGATGTAAAGCGCAGGGAGGTGGAGGAAGGCGGCAGGCAAACAGCAAGCTTTGTTCCATCCAAAACATCACATTACGGAATGGAGTTCGACAACTTACATGTATATTTGTTTCAAAATCAGAGGTGAAGTGCGAAAAAACTGCAAGAGCTGGGAGAGAAACCAGGATCGCGCCGAAAAAATGTCGAGGCAGCCAGCCAGATATCACCTCCAGGAGACGCTTGGTGCAAGCCATCACCTCCTCCAGGAAGAACGCCATCCTGGAACACAGGAAATCACGGAGCGGGGCGTTAACTGCAGCACATCACCTCCTGTCTCTGATCTACCTGCAGGAATTCAACTTCAGACCCCTCACTTGGGCTGTGTGAGCAACCACGGTGTGTTACACCCACAGCACCTGCTGGTGATCCCAGGGAATAATCCACCTTTGCTGACAGACGACTGGGTGTTTGCTCCAGCAGGGAGAGCCTCGGGATGGGGGCTTCGAGGAGGCAAACTGAAAGCCAAATTTCACTCACTTGGATGGTTAAGCACAGGGAGACTTCTCTCCATTCATAAATAAAGCAGGCAGGGAGAGGGGAAGGTTTTACAAATTCAAATGACTGAAAATAACAGCAGAAATGTTTGAAAAGCAGCGCTGTGCACCCCACTAACAGCTCCAGCACCCAGGGCTGTGCAGCTCCATCCCACTGCAACCAAAACCAGTTCTCCCAGTTGCAACCACCCCGTCTGCAACCAGGCTCCGTTCCCTCTCATTAGGGAAGGGGAAGAGGAGCGTGGGCTGAGCTCTGGCAGCCTGGCAGGAGCAGAGCTGGAGAAGCAGTTGGGCTGAGCCCCTCGTGGGCCAGCTGGCACCCACCCCGTTCCTTGGGAGCCAGCACAGCATCCCAATTGGATCCCACACGGCACACAGGGAAGGAACGGCTCCCCCCTCCGATAAAACCACGGCCTGAACCTGTGAAGAGCTGAGGGAGCCAACTGGGAGAGCTCTGGAGAGCAGCTCACCGGAGATACTCCTTAATGAGAGCAGCTCTAATTGCTAAAACGAATAAGGGACGGTAAAAGGATGCTCAATGCTCAAGGGCATTGCATGGAAAACTATTATTTATCCACAGAAATAAATCCTTGGGATAACTTCCTTCTCAAAGCTCTACATTAGTCACTTGAGAAAAACTGCAACTGCTGTTCAAGTGCCTAATTATTTTTATGGAGACATAAAAAGGTAGTGGAGCACAGTTAGCTGCATCCAGAGCCATTAGTGGGATGTGTGGAATTACCAGACTCAGTCTGGGCAGGTACTTCTGGACAACAGCAGAGCCCAAACAGTACAGAATTACACCTTTGTTAAACAGAGAAGCTCACAGCTGAAAAAAAAAAGTATCACATACACTAAATATGAAATTCCCAATCTTCAAAGTTACATAAATTACCCCATATCATCATATTTTTAAAAAGAGAAAAGCAATACATTTATTTTTAACCCTGTTGTCTGAAATACAAGGTTTTATGCTGGATAAAAGCATGATATAGACCATCTGAATTGAAATTTCTTTATGAGAATTTGACACTCATTCCACACCTTTAAATATTCATTGTTTATGAACGATATTTTAATTCTCTGGTCTGGACTTCTGTGAGTTTTACAAACACAAGCATTTTTCGAAGCATCAAGAGCTCTTCTCTAATTTAACTTATTTAACTTTAATTTATTCAAGTCTGGAAATTATCCTTAAATGCATTAAAAAGAGAAATTTGGGAGGATGGCATACACTGTAATACACCGGGATCCCACGAGAGGGTGCTCACAGATTTGCCAGTTTTCAGTTTAATGGACTTCCATTCACACCAAAAATCATACCTGTATTCCATCAGGAAACAGTTTCCAACAATGCACTGAAATTTAAAAACTGGATATAGAGCAAGATAAAATTAAAAAAAATAAAATAAAAGCTCTGCAGAGTAAGAATTGGGGTTTCTGAAGGGTTATAAAGTGTCCTACCCCGATGACAGAACTGTCCCTGTGCTCAGAGACAGTCCTACTTGCTCAGCACCAAGTACATCTGAAATCAAGTTCCTGCCTCTAAAAAAAAATTTCCATTCTCCCAAACGGACTGGGATTAGGATCTCCATGGCTGAACTGTGAGAGAGGAAAGGGAATGAGGCTCCCTGGGCTAACCTGCATCCCCAGTCTCTCCCAAGGCAGCTCGGCAGCAGCTCTGCCCACGCTCTCCTGGATCTCCGCATCGCTCCCATCCCGGCTGGCACAGGACCCAGCTCAGTGGCAGATACCCAGTGCAGCTCATGTCTCTCACCCCAACCCACACACCAGGGACTCCACTTCTTCAATGTTCCTTTTTGCCAAGCCTCCATGCCAGGACAAATTCCTGTGGGAACTATAGCAACAAATCCACCGGCGAGCGCGATCGGTTAATCCTGCGATGAGGACACTGCTTTATTTAGGCAGCTGTGTGTGTCCAAAAGGACAGTGCAAATTCCAGGGCAATGTCACATTTCTCCTGATAATCTTTACCTTCTTGCATTGATTTTTTTCGGGCTGGTATTTATCGCAGAGCTCTGCGCTCCGGAATTCAACGACTGAATTCCCATCCTTCCCAGGGAAAGCCGGTGGATCCAGCCCAACGCTCCCAGCACAGGAAGTCAGGAGTGCATTAAATCCAGACAGCAGTGAGAGCTGCAGACAGATTTAATGGCTACAGGGCAGTATCAGTAAATAATGCAGTGTCAGTGGGCAGCTCAACGGGGCTTAAATGCTGAAGCTTCCGAGATGTTTACACAAGCTGGAGTTCAAATTAGTAACTTTGACATAAATGATTAATGGCTAATGGAGACTGTTACCATCATTTCTGTATTTACTGGCAGTTTAAAATAAATTCCCAGAGTTCGAATCAAAAGCTTTTGGCACAGCAGCAATTTGGTGGGATATTAAATACCAGATGTTAGAAATAAATAAAGGCAAACAGCCTCCATTGTTTTCCCCGGCATCAGGACTCTGTATCAGCCGTGTTAACAGATCTGGTTCATTAAGCTCGGGATGCAGGAAACAATTTCTGCTCCTGGTCACTGGGAATTTAGGAAGATCCAAGTGCTTGGCCACAGGGTCTCTCTGCTGTGGACAGACCGTGGGTGGCACTTCAGCAAGGCTGGGAAGCTGAAGCACCAGGAAAAGGGCAGTTCTGCTCCGTCAGACAACAGCACAACTTCCCATTCCAGTGTTGGATTGCACTCCTTTCTTCATCCAGGACATAATTTGTTTTGCTCTCTAGAAAGGCCCTTTTAAATTCATGAATCAACTTGAAGTGCTCCCACCTTTCACTCTTTTGAACAGGGCTGAAACACCCACTCTCTGCCCTCAGCTCTTCACCCACAAGTCCTCTCTGAAGCACATCATCAAAAGCAACATATTTTTTCATAAACAAACTCATTTATGGCCGGTTTTACTCAAAAACTATGTGTCAAAATTATCTAGTTAACAAAACCCCTGTATTTACACAAAAATAGTGGGCAGCTATCTTTTACCTGCATTCCTGCAGACCCACTCCTCAGACTCCCAAGTGAAACCTTGCACTTGATGTATGTTCAGTGACATTTCCCAAGTTTTTTTTTTATAAAAAACCAGAATTTCAGGACCTCTTACACTTCAACTGAACTTGTCAAAGTAGTTACATCTCAAGTGGGCCGAAGGACATTCTTTACAGAACATTTACAGAGCAGGAGATGACATTTTCCACGTGCTCAC